TGACAATGGCATGTTTTTTCTTTCATTAGATTCTATATCAATAATAGAAGACTTTGACAAAGTCAACCATAATGGCAAATGACCCTCAATCATGAGACAAATGAAAAAGTATCATTTATTTAGTTGAAAACTTATTGCTATGTTACAGAAACATGCACAGTTCCGTTCGAAGCTCTTCAACCACTCCCACTCACTGCGAGCCCTTAGTCTTGGTCAAGATCGCTTCAAGCGCCGTTACTGGGTGTTCCCACGAACAGGAGGTGTGTTCATTGAAGGGATGGCAAGTGCTGAGATTGAAGGACAAACGGAAATAGTCAAAGAAGGAGAAGAGGTTCAAGGCGACCGAGAACGTGTTGAGAAAATGGACATCAATGCTGCAATAAAAGAAGGTGGTAGAATAAGAAAAAGAAACAGTTCATGTTTAAATGAATCAGAAGTTAATRCTTCAAAGTCTGAAGCAAATGGTGAACCATCTATGAACAGTGCTGTGGTCTCAAAACAGTCTATGTCTACCATGTCGACACCTCAGTTTGTGAAGATAGARAATGTTGTCAATAGTACATCGCCTATTGGTGCACATTTTATGGCCAAGATTGAAGCCACTCCYGCCCAGAATGTTTGGTTTGGCTTATTGCCACGCATGCCTTGTGATGAGTCATCGCTGACACTGTCCCACACCCCTTTCAGTGGTAACTTTGTACCGTCTTACAGCAAGAAAGCAGAAGTTGTTCCTGTTGATTCACCAATCCCTGTCAAGCGCCCTCCTGGTCGACCACCTAAGAATGCCACTCCTGTCTACCAGACCATTGTGACTGGGATAGAAAGTCCTTTAGCTACCCTTAACAATCAGCATCTGCTTACACCTCCTAATATGTCCCCTGCTACTCCTCCTGTTCCAAGACCTCCTTGTACTAGTGCTAGCAGCACCTCTCAYATATCWACCATGTCATTGTCATTTGAAGAGTTGAAAAAGAGTGTTCTTGAATCTCTTCGACGTGAGCCTGCTCCTATTCCACCAGGTATGACTTTTGAATAAACACCCATAATATGATACATGATACAT